TTTCCAGTCTTTTTTGTGGTTTTAAACGTTCAAATAGATGTTGGTGCCATGCATTATGGTGGGTGTCAAGATCACGTGAAGGTTAAGTCAAGTTCATTGACCTTTGATGACCTTGGTTCACTTTTTCGAGTTTTACTTGTTTCTAGGGTAGTTTTTGGTGCTGATTTCGAGTTAAGCAACCATTTGAATATTTACGAAGTAGTTCTGGTGCCTTCGTACTATGCTACGAAGCTCACTGAGAGAAAAGTTGACTCCGTACCAGCTTTGATTCTGGGTTGATGCGTCGACAGCTCCTTATTTCTTCACCGTGACCACAGCAAAAACTTGTTGCAAGCTTTCATTATTCTTCCCAAGGCTATTGTGAGAATTTTGTCAGAGTCGCCCCTGCCTATTTCCGTGCTCTCCTTATACTCCTGCCGGATGCTTATTCTTTCAATGTGCTAATGTAACTCTGGCTGAACTCTTCCTACCTGGACAACTCTTCTTAAGTCCTTTGGGCTTTGGGTATTCACCAGAAGAGTCTTTAAGGAACTCTGACAGCATATGGTAGCCATTTTGTAGAGTGCGTTTGTCCGCCATATTTGTTTATTTGCAGTTGTGGGCGAGCGCGCGCGGTGAGCTGTTGCGGGGAAGGATCGGGGTTGTGAAAACCCGTGCAAGTTTGCGTTTATATATTTTCTGTCTGGTCAAAGCGTGTTATTATTGTAATTGTATAGTGTATTGTTTTATTGTATTGTGACTTACTTCCCTGTAATTGAATGAAAAGCATGCATGTGCGATGGCGTTTCCTTCAGGTGAGGGGCGTTCTTCCACCTTGAAGAGATTCGTGGAAAGGGGGACGTCTTGTTTTGGTTCGTATGTACGATACATGCTTTGATGCGGGTGGTCGACGGGAGAACGTTTTTTTCTGGAATTACATGGATAGAGAGAACAACTTTTGTTTTGTATGCCTTTTATGTGGGTTCACGTGTGCTCAGCTAAAGTTGTTCACATTATATTCAAATGAAAATGTTTAGATGTTTTCGTCTGGTGGTGAGCCATCTGAAATATTTACCAGGGTATATTGAATTAGGGGGTAGGACCAAGTTTAGTAGGCATGATCTCAGCAATTATCGTGTTTTATATGGCGGTTTTCATTATCACAATATTATTTTTGATATAATGAAGTTTGTATATCTCGGTTTTACGAAAAATAGTAGGGCAACAAAGATAAATTTCGCGAAAAAATAATTTTAGTTGGAAACATCCATTCTGCTATGCAAAATTCAGTATGAAGCCCAGTATGGTGACCGTCTAGTGTGCTTCCAAGGCTGAGTACCTGATATCAACAAGAGTTGTTTACTATTTTGCCTTACGTTGCTAGGTGGTGCTAGGGAGCTAAGGATAGTTTGCGCGATCATTTGCACTTATTTTTCCTCATTATATCGACATGTTGCTGTTTCTGAGACCTAACTCATGCTAAGAAAAAAGCAGTTTTCTTAAAATGTGTATTTAACTGCCGTAGCATTAACACAGCTCTGCAATTCTGCTTAAATATCTGCAAAATCCTGACTTCCCGGAAAATTGTTGGTGGTGATGGGGATCCAGCCCGTCGATGAAAAGTAAGTCAATATTCAAAGGCTTCAAAACGTTATTTCTTGTTGTTCTGTGAAATAGCAATGCAAAGACCGATGATAGTGCCAGTGTAGAGCATTCCAATGAAGCATTGCAATTAGTAGTAAGGTTATTATCACCTAAGATATCTTTAATCAAATATTAGAACTCTGCCATTGTCTTGCTGTAGAACAGGGTTACTTTCAATCTCTTGGGAACACGATTTGCCGGTCTCAGATCGAAAAACACTTCAGAAAGCGGTAATAGACAATGAAATTTCCCACCTGATAGCATCTCGGGTTTTTATATATCCTGTCTAAAATTTTCATAAATCAGACGTAAAAATGGCCAATTTCGTCAGATTACGAATTTTTGCCATTGGGTCTAATGTAAAGCATGGCTACTTTCAGTCTCTTGGGAACACGATTTCCGTACCTCAGATTGAAAAACACTTCAAAAGTCGCAGATAGTAGACGATTTAATCTACAAGATAGCATCTCGCTTTTTTGTGTATCTGGTCATGTATATACATAAAATCCTCTCAAATATAGTCAATTTAGCATTAAAGTCTATGGATTTAGAAGAATTTTCATATCCGACTAGATTTGGGCTACCATGTCTGTTGACCGGGGGCCGATTTACGTGAATCGGTTTGAATGTGAAGAATTTTAGAAGAGTTTTACGAGTGTTTTTGTGGATAATTTTGTTAGAATAACAGAGTATTTTAGAAGCACAGGTAAGAGTATGATGGATCGGTGCAGAGTTTTGAAAGAATTCTGCAAGAACTTAGAGGAGTATTGAAAGAGTGTTCAGAATTATACAGTGTTTTTGAAGAACATTGAAAGGGTTATGTTAGAGTAAGGAGAATATTTGTGGAGTCATAATAGAGTCACAGAGGAATTTTAGATGATTTTATCCGAGTTTGGTGTCGAAGAAGAGTTGCATCGAGAATCAAAAATGACAACTCTCCCCAATGTGCTGGGAAGAGTCAACTTTTCCCTCAGTGGTGACATTTCAGTAGTAATGTCACCTACTACTGACATTCAGTAGTAGGTGACAACTAGTGATGTCAATAACGGAAAATCGTGAAACCGATACCAAACCAAATACCAACAATACCAATGGGAAAATACCGAAACCGAACCGACTTGGGAATATGAGGAAAAATACCAACTTTTTATAACCTAACTCTCAGCCTCTTTTACATTAGTGAGGATTCATAATACCAACAAAATACCAAATGCATTCGCCATGAAATACCAAATGCCGAGTTGGTATCGGTCTGGTATCGGTATACCAAAAAGTCGGTATCCGATTGACATCTCGACAACTACCTACTATGGATAGTCGGCAGGACGCCTACTGGTTGATATGACCTGACCTGACCAGACCTGGCCTAAATGCATAAAGACATCGTCTGTGATCAAAACTAACATGAAATTCGTGATCAGCACCCCAAAACACCCCGTAACACCCTAACTTTACGAAGTTTACGAGGTCTCGATTTCCTAACTTAAGTTGGGTCATTAAACTGACTTGGAAAGTCAACTAATGACCTTGGACTTTTAAATTGGATATATTCGGCCTCATCTCGTCATAGGCAGCACGCTTGATTTTTTCCGCGAAGCTCTAGCTTGATCAGGGGCCAAACGGCTGAGCCGGGGGTCCAATTGAACCCCCTATACTATGCTGATTATGCACATTTACAGGTAACATTCTCACCAGAGCACACCAGCCAACATCTCTGTGCACAATCTGGCTACAATACTACCTATGGTTTGCCCTCTACGAATAAAGACGTGCTAGATCGGGAAAATCCCTGCACTGTGCATTGGAGGGAGAGATTGTGACTCAAGCTGGATGAATTCCTTTGTTGAGTTTCTAGAATCCGAAGGGAAAGCGGGAAATGCCTACGACTATTTAATGAAGTTAACGGTGATGATAAGGTGCGAAAAACGTTTTGACTTTATAAAATTTGATTAAATGACCAGGGAATAAGTTTTATTACTCGCGGTCAATTAAAAACGGCGCTAACATTTTAACAGTGTGAATAGCGGTGCGCGATTCAAAGTGTAGTACACCTTTCGTACTTTGAGCGGCGATAGCGGGAAAACGGTGTGGAGCTTCGAGGATCGGTCTTCAGTTCCCGGACCAGAAAGGTGGGGCCTATGCAATATCAAATTTCATCAAAATGATGAAACTGTCCCTTTAAAGGGACTATCCCACCTTTAACATGGGGTTTGAGTTGAGATAGCCAAGTTTGCGGCGAGGTTCAGAAACCACTATCTATCTAGGTTGCAACCCCCGCGGCCTCTTGGTGTTGAAGAAATTCGTTCCCTTCATTTGAAAATGGGCCTTGCGAAAGGCCCTATCTTCAACATGGAGCGACCGTTAGTGTGACGTCACCTCGTTTAATCATTCTGATTTAAATGGGTTTGTTCGTTGAAAAATCGCTTAAAACTTGGTCCGAACTTTGTTGTGGTGCCTACAGAGTAAAAAGAATCAGCTTTATGACAGTAATGTGGCCTGGGGAAGGAGGTAATTTTGGGCTGTGACGTCACATATTTGAAAGTTTGTGTTTGGAATATGGGAAGCCTAAGATGTTAAATGAAAAATAAATGCCAGAACCGTGTTCCTGGTCATCCAATCTATAAAGTCGGGCACAATTTAACTGGTTTTAACAACATTTTAGAAGGTGGGATAGTTCCTTTGATGGCGCGATAGGCGTGCCGGCGCCCCGGGTCGATACGGGCCGTCGGATGGGTGGCGGCCGCCGCTGAGCTCCGAATGGGCCGACCTGAGGCTCGGCGGCGTGGACGCAGCGCCACCAGCCGACCGCTGTTTTTGTGTAGATGCCGTGTGTGGCGCCTGCCGCTGGTGAATGGGGCTCTGGAGAGCCGCCCGCCGGCGGACCAGCTGATTTTTGACGTGGTACGCTAAACGCGCTCCTGAAGGTCATTTGACGTACATTGTCTGACAGGGCGGTGTAGCTGCGGGGGCCGGAGACAGAGAGAGAGAGAGAGAGAGAGAGAGAGAGAGAGAGAGAGAGAGAGAGAGAGAGAGAGAGAGAGAGAGAGAGAGAGAGAGAGAGAGAGAGAGAGAGGGTGTCTGGCAGTGGCGGATCCAGCTCAGTTTTTTTTTTGGGGGGGGCAATCCATAACAATTTATCGATTCTTTCCATGCCTCGTCCATAGGCGTTATGTTAAAATTATGCCGTTTGGGAGGGGGAAATGCCCATTTTGCCCCCCCCCCCCTGGATCCGCCACTGGTGTCTGGGCGGTTTGGCGGGCGCCGTGGACACAGCGGCGAGCATGGCGCGGTCGATGTCAGCGGCGGCCCGGGTGCCGCTGTCAGAGACTGTACAGCAGCTGGCGGAATGGGGTCCGGCCGCCCGACTACGCTGGTGCCTCACTCGTGTGCCTGGGAGAGACTGCGGCTGGGTGACGGTTGAGCGGTTGAGTGGCCGTGTACCAGCGATGTGAGGTCAGCGGCGCGGCGTGCTACTGCTCGGCTCTGTCTTCTGTAAGTGACACTGTCGCGGCCCTTTCCGGCATAGACAGTTGGACCGCCGCCGTGCCGCTACCAGATAGACTCTTCCCCCCTCTGTCGCCCCTCTCTGTCCTCTGTCCTAGGCCTCTATCCTAGACCCCTCTCCCCCTCGATCGTCTCTTCTTCCTCCTTTTCATTGCTGTTTTCTCCATGCATCCTCCGGTCACTTGTCCGACCTTATCGTGGCCGCACGGCAGGGACCCTGCGCCTCCCCCCTGTCGCGGGAGTCCCGTAGTGGACCCCCAATGCTTCAACCAGGGACGTAGCCAAGGTGGGGGAGGCACGGGGCCATGGGGCCCCTGAAGGCGAAAACTTAGATTAAATTAAATAAAAAAAAAGAAAATAAATATAAACAGCTGCACCACACCCCCAAAAATAGTGGGCCAAATCCGATAACTTTTCCTTTTTTTGAAGGGGTACGACACTAGGTCGCAGCCTGTGGCCCCTCCCTGAGCAAAATCGGCTATGAGCCTGTCGATTTCCGTAATCAGCCTAACGTATGCATAAAGGTGTGCAATTGCATCTCTGGGTTGGACCCCCATATCCTGAGACCGTAGCTTAGCACCTGGCGCCCACGGGCTCCCTTTGTTGCTATCTCGATTTTGATGAATATTATTCTTTTGGCTAAAGTTTCACTTACGTTGAATCATGATATGCGACCAGGCCACCGGGTTTTGTATTTTTCTGTGTCGCGATTGTGTGGCTGCAGAAGTTATTCTATTTGATAGCTCTGGCGGTTCGCGCCTCGCCCTGTTCCGGCTGCTCGGCCCTGCGTCCCTGAGGCTGTGGCCGCGGCTCTCGCTCAGCGGGGGCCATGCCATTGTAGTTCGCAGCGGCTGAGTCACGTGACCTGCCGGGCCGCCGCCGCGCCGCCAGAATGGCCGCGCCGGCCGATATCAGCTGACGCCGGCGCCAAGGCCGCCGGCTGGCTCCGGCGCATGCGCACCGAATCGAGGTGTGACCGGCGATTGACTATGGCGACGGCAGGGCGCTACGGTCGGCGGCGATTGACTATGGGTATGGCGACGCTCTTGTCTCGACGGACGCGGTACTCACATGTACTGCCCATTGTCTAATGCTTTGCGTTAGAGAGCCGAGGACTCCGCCCGCCATCGACTTTTGGTTAGATGGGGGGGGGGGGCACTTTGCCCATCGCCCATCACCCAGTGATGTACACAAGGGGTAGCACGGGGCCATGCCCCCCCCCCCCCCGAGTGTCGAAGGCGCGAGGGGTCCCTGCGGTCCAGGGATATTTCTGGTGGATTTAGCACGCCGAGGGCGTGCTTGGTCCGGGTGCCTTAATTCCAATACTACGAGTATGTAGACAGTAGACAGAACGTCTTTTACTCGAAAAAATTGATATCTAAGAGGGATTCTGTCATAGTGACGCGCCCACAGCGCCCCTTCTTAACTGAGGGCCACTGCACAGGTTACCTGAGGGACCCCCTGATCATCTGAGGGGACTTGACCACCTGAGGGGTCTTCTGGTCAGCTGAGGGGCCCCTGACCACCTGAGGGGCCTCCTGGTCACCTGAGAGGCCCCCTGGTTACCTGAGGGGCCCCTTGGTCACTTCAACTTAAGGGGCCTCTGGTCACCTGAGGGGCCCCCTAATTACCTCACTGGTCACCTGAGGGGCCCCTAGTTACTGAGCGGCCCCCTAGTTACTGAGCGGCCCCTGGCCATCTGAGGTCTCCCTGGTCACCTGAGGGCCCCTGCTTACCTCTGTGGTCACCTTAGGGGCCCCTGATCATCTGAGGGGCTCCTGGTCGCCTCCAGGGGCCCCCTGGTCACCTGAGGGGCTGCCTGGTCAGCTAAGGTGCCCCTGGCTGGCTATCTGAGGGGCCCTAGTCATTTGAGGGGCTCCTGGTTACCTGAAGGGCCTCTTGGTCACTCGCCTGAGGGACCTCCTGGTCACATGAGGGGCCACCTGGTCACACGAGGGGACGAGGGCCCTTTATCCCGCGAGTTGCTGGGGGGGGGGCGTTAAACGCCCCCACTTTTTTCGCCGGGCCATAGCATAAAAATGGCGCGCCGCAGGCGCGCCAAATTTTGGGTACCTGTAAGGAATTGATTGAAGTTTATTGTGACAAAGTTTTTAAAAATCGGTGGGAAAATTTTTGAGATATCGAGGTTTTAGTGACGTCATTATTTCTAAGTTTTCGACCAAAAACGGCATATGTTCAAAAAATCATATAAAATCACAGAATAGACATACAGACATACCGTAAAAGCCATTAGAATGCCAATACCATGAACAATCAAATGGCTATCTTCGATTATTGATTATCGTTCCGCATTTTCCAAAATCTTGAACTGAATCTTGACAATTTCTCGTGACTACTTCACGACCATGATACATGAATTTCTTAAATTGAACTTTTTGAGCCAAACACGTACACATATGATAAAATGAATGTCACCATCGTGTTCTACGGCCCAAATTACCCATAAAACATGCGTCATAGGCTGCGAATAACAGTTTTGGTTTTCGGGGATATGTGCCTACCCGGTTGACCTGACCTTGACCCTGACCTATGCTTGACTGACCCCTACATGGAGCTGACACTCTTGTAGGCCTTATATGATGGATTGTGCACCGTTTTGACAGAGTTTATGACGAGAGGCGCCCATTGCGAAGTCCTGAAGTCCATGCTACTGAAAGCCCGATTTCAGGTGTTTGACCTGACCTTGACCCGACCTGTGACCTCAAAATTCAACTTTAAAGTACTCATCTGAAGCGTCTCGTCGCGTTCTTTCGTTTGCCGCCTCGTGCGTTTCGCTGCGCCTATTGGTTCTCGAGTTATCGGCTGGGGGCGTTTAACGCCCCCCCCCCCCAGCAAACGGTGGGTGGCGAAATACCCCAGCAACTGCCGGGTTATAGTTACCCGAGGTGCCCCTGACATAACTGGCCCCTGTTTATAAGAGGGTCCCCTGGTCACCTAGGTCCTAGTGGGATCTGGTCAGTTGAAAGTCCCCTGGTCACCTGAGACCAGTGGCGTAGCCAGAAATCAGCGAAAGGGGGGGGCATGGTGCTCGAGGGGGCGACTTTTTCCCTGGAGAGGGGCGCCATTGTCAGCTAGTGAAAGGGGCGTCAGTCTAAAATGTAACGTCATGTTCATGCATGATTTACTAGGTGCTGCTAAATACGAGTACAAAAACCAGGTTTCGCTGATTTTTCGTAAATCCAATTAATCCAATTTGCAGCCCAGTGTTTTTATCAAAACACCTTGATCTTGGTGAATATTTAGCACGAGATAGGAAACGATCTCAGGCTTCGGACATTTTATTCCCAAAATACGCATCCATGATAATTCGAAACGGTAAAATATACGTTGCTCTATAGACACAATCTTTATAATATGCAATATATATATATATATATATATATATATATATATATATATATATATATATATATATATATATATATTGTTGTCGACACCATCGGCGATATAGCTCGGTACGCTACAAAGGATAAAAGATTGATAAATGGAAATAAATGTATTGGGCATTAGAATAGAAGAGACATATGGACAGTAGACAGATGCAGTCTGTAGTTTGTTGAGAGATCGTAGATCAGTAGTTTAGTTGTAGGTTCCTGTAAAATACACAAATAACAGGCCCTTTTACACCGGTGTGCGCCATAAATCGTCTCATTCATTTCGGTATCAGCAGTATCTGACATATCTATGGGCATATATCCAAACTAAATACTTTTGAACCTCACACCGGAGTTAATTAGTGCATATCAACAACCAACGAAGCGACAAGTAGCATTTCATGTCCAAAATATCCAAATAACCTACCAAGGTGTCTTCCTTCGCCGGGTTTCGTGTCGAATTGCGCACAAGGCCGGTCAGCTGGTGACACGCAAAAATAACAAGTATGGGCAGACGAAACCGGCCGACAATAAACAAATTTAAATACGCCTTTTACCAAATGCAATCGGTCACACTTGGAGAAAACGTATCAAATAATTTCACTACGATATTCCAATGTGAAATACTAATCGAGATAGTATAAATCACTCATTTAACGCAGCTTGGTTGTAATGCAGTTCCCAAAACGACCGCGCACCCGCGGTGGCAGCACCTTACGGTGACAGCCGAGAACAATGCTGCCATCTATGCTACAAGCGGTCCCGATGCGATTCAGGACCATCACATCCTCCCCCCGGTGACGCAACGTCACCTGAGTGATCGCACACGGTACACACGCGTCAGTGATCGCGCACGGTACACATCCCAGTCTCGCTGCCACTGCAGCTGTCGACTGTTGTCCACGACTCAGCCGGCAGCCAGGGAGACCAGTCGACTCGCTGCAGCCGACCTTCCCGTGTCTGGCTCAGCAGACAGTACCACGCGCCGTGGCCGAAGCACCAGCCGCCGCAACCGGCAGCTCGCCGCAGTTCCAGAGACGCCGCCAGGGTCAGACTTAACACCCGCACCGCCTCCAGCCTGATATGCACAGTCAGCGTCATCACTAAGTCACTATTCTGAGAGCGACCTAAATCGGCAGTGGCCGACTCCGTGCCCACGGCCACCCCGCAGGCGACACAGGCACAGCAGACAGCAGCTCGCCGGGGCCGCCCCGTGCCGGCGGCCACTCCACAGGCAGACCAGTTCGCCGCAGCTGACCTCGCGCCGGCGGCGACTCCGCAGGCGACGCACACAGCAGCTCGCCGCGACCGACTCCGCCAGGTCGCCAGCCCCGCCGTTGGAGGCATGCCGGCTCCTGCAGTCCACCAGATCGTCGTCCAGGACTGCTGCATCCAGAAGTCGTCCCTCTCCAGTTCAGGAAGGGTTAGGAACGACATCCTAGGAGGAACAAAGACAGAATAACAGGAAGTTAAGGAAAATAGACATTAGGATAGATACGATTCATGTGCACACGATGTCAGCGATCAGCAGTCATCACCATACTCACTCAGCTTCCTCTAACAGACACACTTTGCTGACGGGGCGGTGGTAAGTGCCTCCCCCCGCTGCCTTCAGCTCAACCGATCGGACGGTGCCGTCTGAGCCCGGCAACACTCGAACAACTCGGGCTAGAGGCCAGAATCCTCTCGGCGAATCGCTCTCAACCATCAGGACGACGTCACCTTCTTGCAGATTTCTTGTTTTGCGGAGCCACTTCTGACGGCTCGTCAGGGTTGGGACATACTCCCGCCGCCACCGCTTCCAGAACAGGTCAGCCAGAACTTGTGACTGCCGCCAACGCCGTCTGCTGCTCAACTCGCAGGGCTGGAAGACTCCGGGCGAGATGTTGACGATTGAACACCCCAGTAGAAGATGGTTCGGTGTCAGTGGTTCTACGTCAGTGCCATCAGGGCTAACATATGTAAGAGGCCGTCCGTTGACCATGGCCTCGACTTCAAGTAGCGCAGTGTGAAGCACTTCGTCGCTCACACATTGCGATCCGATCGTCACCTTCAGGGCTCTCTTGACGCTACCGACCAGTCTTTCCCAGGCGCCGCCCATGTGACTTGCTCCGGGAGGCATAAACGTCCACTTGATGTGATCTTGGCTCAGATGATCCGAAATGCGAGCCTGATTAAACTCCTGCAGCGATTCCCGGAGCTCACGCTCTCCTCCTACCAGGTTCGTTCCGTTGTCGGAAAACAGGGCATCTGGCTTTCCTCGACGCGCGGAAAACCTCCTCAGGGCCATTATAAAACTGTCAGTATCTAGAGTGTTTGCGATCTCTAGACGCACCGCGCGCGTTGAAAGGCAGGTAAACAAGACACCGTACCGCTTCTCGGTCTTTCTGAACTTTTTCACCATCATCGGTCCGAAATAGTCAACACCGACTGTGCTGAAGGCTCTTGAAGTGTTGAACCTTCCGACTGGCAGGTCAGCCATCCTCGGGACTTCCGGACGTGCTCTTCTGTTTCTGCATACGGTGCACTGGTGCAAGATTCTTCGGACGGTTGACCGAGCCTTGGTGAACCAGTAAGCTCTTCGTACTTCTGTCAGAGTCCTTTCTTGACCCGAGTGCAGGACCTTTGAGTGGTTGTACGTCACGATCAGGCGTGTGACATCATCTCTGGCCGGGAGGATCGCTGGATGACGCGTCGAATAGGGCACTGGAGCCTTGCTGAGGCGCCCGCCGACGCGCAGCACGCCATCACCGTCCAGGAAAGGCGACATCTGAGTCAGTCTTCCCTCAGACCCCGCTGGGTTGCCGTTCCGGAGAGCGGCTACTTCTGTGGTGAAGCTCCGCGCCTGACAGTCTAAGACGATCTTCTTTTCAGCCTCCTGAATCTCGTCTGCTGACAGCGGCCCCTGGCGCTTCCAGTCAGCTTTAGTCGGGCAGTTTGATGCGATGAAGTTCGTCACGAATCGTAGCATCCACGCTACAACTCTTCGGTAGCGCGTCCATGAAGAGAATTTCCCTGCGTCAGGAAGCACAGTCACTTCGAGCTCTGGCTTCGTCGTGAGAACTTGCTTTGTTCTTACTTCTGGGTCGTCCGCCGATACAGCTTTGCACGGTGGGTTCTCAGGCCAGTGCTTTTCGTCCTTCAGCAGGAAGTCGGGACCATCCTTCCAGTGCGAGTCTGCGGAAAGATCCGTGGCAGAGGCTCCCCTGGAGCAGACGTCAGCTGCATTCGAGCTGGACGGGACGTGCCTCCACTGATCTGGACGAGACAGCTCTCGGATTTCGGCCACCCGATTGGCCACAAAGGTGTGGAATCTACGGCTGTCATTCCTCACATACTGCAACACAACAGTACTGTCCGTCCAGAACAGAACTCGCTCCACCTTGACGCTCAGCTCCTTCAGGATCATGTTGGCCAATCTGACTCCCAATACCGCTGCTTGTAGCTCGAGCCTGACAATGGAGATTTGCTTGAGAGGCGCCACTCTCGTCTTTGACATGGCCAGGGAGCAGATACTGGGGCGATCGGGCATTATCGTCTTGACGTACGCCACTGCTCCGAACGCCTGCTGAGAGGCGTCACAGAATATGTGCAGCTCTCTGGTACAGTCCGCGCTGATCTCTGTGCCTGAGAAACACCGCGGGACGGTCATCAGTTCCGTGGAAGGGAGCTCACTCAGCCACTTCTTCCAGATCCGCGACTCCTCCTCTCCCAGCTGATCGTCCCAGCTGTAGTTACCTGCCCAGAGGCGCTGGATCAGGATCTTGGCCTGCAGAGAGAATGGCGATAGCAGCCCCAGGGGGTCGTAGAGACGAGCGACTCCCCGAACTACTCCACGTTTCGTCTCTGGTACGTGTGGGTCGATGCTTCTCACTCCCAGCGTGTCTTCGGCCGTGTTCCATGTGCAGCCCAGCACACTCTGAGTCGTGCCAGCTTGAGCTCGCTCTTCCTGTTTGATCTGTTCCATGACTCGTTTCGAGTTCGTCGTCCACTTCGTTAGCTTGAACCCGCCTTTTCTCAGGAGTTCTGTCATTTCCGTCTGCATCTCGACAGCTTTATCTTCAGTTTCTGTAGCATGCACGAAGTCGTCCATGTAGAAACTGTTCAATGCTGCCTCTTTAGCTGTTTGTCCTGCTGCAGTGCTGCTGCTGCAGTCTCTGGCCGTCTGCTGCAGGACGAAACTGGCCGACGCTGGACTGCTTTTGGCTCCGAAGATTGCAACTTCCATAGTGTAACACTCTGGGTTCTTCGTCACGTCCAGGTCTCTCCAGAGGTACCGCAGGGCCGCCTGGTCTCGCTGTATGATCCTGACCTGGTGGTACATGGCTTCAATGTCAGCAGTCAGGGCTACTGGTTCTTCTCTGAGTCTTAAGAGGATGCCTGGAAGGTTCTTCAAGAGGTTGGGTCCCGTGAGAAGCATGTCATTCAGCGACACGCCTTCACACGTTGCGGCAGCGTCAAATACTACCCTCAGTTTCCCCGGCTTCCTTGGGTTCGTCACACCGTGGTGAGGGAGGTACCAGGTCCTGGGATGCGATTCTTGCTCCTCTTCAGTCTCCAGCTTGCGTGCAAACCCGAGCTCAACGTATCCGTCCATGACCTTCTTGTACGCCTCGGCTTTCTGTGGTTTCCGCAGTAGGCTCTTCTCCAGTGAATGCAGGCGGCTGACGGCTACTGCTCTGTTGTCTGGCAGGTGTACCTCATCGCTCTTCCAAAGGAGCCCCGTCTCATAACGATTGTCCAGTCTACGTGTGGTGTTTTTCATGACTTCCACTGCTCTGATGTCTTCGGGAGATTTGGCGTCATCGCCTTCAAACTTGCACCCGAAGGACTCAGTGGTCCACCACTGCTGCAGCATTTTCGACATCTCGTCTTCGTCTGGTGACTTCCTGCTGATCAGCATCACCTGCCTCTTCCGCTCAGGAATAAATCCCTTCACTGAACCGGCCAGAGTCCACCCGAAGGCAGTTCTGATCGCCACCGGTTGGGCCTTCTTTCCCTGCTTCACTTCGAGTTGTAGCAGAGCTTCGAGGACATTCGCTCCTAGAAGAAGCTCCACCGTCTTACCGGAACAGTCTGGCAGATCGAGATCTTGCACGTGTTTCCAGTCAGGCATCTTGTGGGGGATCTCAGGTACTGTGACGTTGATTTTCTTTACGGAAAATGCCTCAGGAACTACCACACTTGAGCCATCGCCGAATGACGCTTTCAATTCGAGCTTCAGCTTCACTGAGGTCTGAAGGGGTCCGCATCCCTCGACGCTCTGCAGGCGGAGGGTTTGCCGCTCTCCATGAAGACCCAGTTCGGTCACCACATCTTCGGACACCAACGAGGTCTGCGAACCCGGATCCAACAGGGCACAAACCTGTTTGGACTCGCCGTTACTGCCGAGGATGGTGACCGGCACCACTTGCAGCAGTGTCGTGACATCATCGGTTTTCAGAGACGCTGCAGCGACTACGCGCTCACGGCTGGTCCGTCTGCCGACCCGCTTGCTGCCGTGGAGTGTTGCGTGGTGCCTCATCGTGCAGTTGTCGATTCCGCATGGCTTTGCTGAACGACAACGCCGCACGCCGTGCCCCGTCTGCAGGCAGTAGAAGCAGCGCCCGACTTCGGCGATCCAACGCGCTCTCTCGTCAACTGCCTTCTGCAAGAATAAAGGGCAGTCAGTCACCTCATGCCGTTCCTTACAGCATGGACAGTTTCCTGTTGTCCGTGCGTCGGTGACCAGAGTGCTCCTCTGCTGGGCAGTCTTCTGCATTGGCTTCAGCTTGTTTTCTTTCGGAGTCCTCCTTGGCTGTGACACAGCCGCATAGTTGACTGCTACCCGCACCTTCTTCTGAAGCCAGACATCTAGGTCGATGAGGTTGGGTCTCTGGGTCAGATCGAGGACGTGCGCTCCCCATTCGTGCTTTAACTCCGGAGGAAGCTTCTGTACTACCCTTCTGAGATTTTCATAGCTTCTGAGATCTCCCTCATAGCCAAAGTTCTTGAATATGACTACGGCACAGTGGATTGATGAATGGAGCTTTTCCAGTAACACAGGATCCAGGTGGGATGGGTTAGGGCAGGAGAAGATATTCTGGAGGTGGGCGTGCACGATGTCCTCCTGCTGACCGAACCTCTCTTCCAGCGTCTTCAGGGCCTCCTCGTACAACCTCCCATCGAACAGCATCCCACTGATGGCCTGCTCGGCCACACCTGTTACGGCGGCCTGCAGGTGCACCATCTTCTCAGTTGGAGTCAGGGACGGTTGGTTGTGTACCATTGTTCGGAAGAGAGCTGACCACTTTGGCCATTCAGCTGGCTCACCTCCAAACTTTGGCAGGTTCAGGCGAGGGAGACTCTGACGCACAGCCTCAGCATGCAGTCCAGACTGGAAAGCGCCCGTGCCACCACTGCCCTGGGCCCGGTGAGCAGTAGTGGTGCCGGCGCTGGGTCCCTGCTCCACTTGGGTCCCTGGCACACCACCACCAACCTGGGCCTGGTGAACAGCAGCGGTGCCGGTGCTGGGTCCCTGCGCTTGGGTCCCTGGCATACCACCACCGCTCCTGAAGACCTGAAGAGCTGTAGTGCCAGTGGCTTCTTCATTTTCTTCATTTTCGGCTTCACCGAAATCCTCACGTCTGTCCCAGTTGAGTGAGTCTTCCTTCAACAGCTTTGCACGCAACTCTGCTGCAGCCTGAGCATCTTCAGCTTCCTGTAACTTCAGCATTCGTTGCAGCTGCTGGTCCTCTTCCTCGGTCTTGAGTCGTCTCTGCAGTTGCTGCAGTTCCAGTTTCTTCACCATGGCATCCACCTCTGCTACTCGTGAGGCTGCCGAAGATGACTCAGAATGATGTGACTGTCCGGACACTTCAGATGCCGGGTCGTCTTTTCTGTCCTTCAGATACCCTTCTATTCTACTGACTGCCTCCTCATGTTGCCGATCAGCTTCTGCTTGATATGCCTTCACCTGTTCCAGCTCATCTTCTGACGTCAGCATGGATGCAATATTATCAGATGCCTCTTCCACTTGCTGAAGTGCTTTGTCCAGCTCCGAGATGATGGAAATCAGGTGGGTCCGGCTACCTCTGTTGTCTATCAGAACATAGGCCCTTCTCCTTGTCCTGGTCAAGTTTGCCAAACATCTCCCCCGCTTCTGCTTCAACTGTGCAATTGACTGAGGCATCGTGTGTACAGGACTCAGTTCAATCATGAATCAGGGAGTGCAGAATGGTCAGGTATGATCAGGCATATGGGCAAAACAATCACGTCAAGGTAATAGGCACAGGTGGTTAAAATACAAAGCAGGCACAGTCGGGTAAATCATGGGTGAATCAAGACAGGTCAGTTGGGCATCACTTATGAGAACATAGGTATCTCCATTAACTTTGAGGTCATTACAGCACTTTGGAGCTCAAAGGATACCTTGGAACTGTTGTCGACACCATCGGCGATATAGCTCGGTACGCTACAAAGGATAAAAGATTGATAAATGGAAATAAATGTATTGGGCATTAGAATAGAAGAGACATATGGACAGTAGACAGATGCAGTCTGTAGTTTGTTGAGAGATCGTAGATCAGTAGTTTAGTTGTAGGTTCCTGTAAAATACACAAATAACAGGCCCTTTTACACCGGTGTGCGCCATAAATCGTCTCATTCATTTCGGTATCAGCAGTAGGGTAGCCTGGGGCAAGACGCCCCAGATAATTTATTTTGCTACATAAATTTTGTCCCACATCACCTGGAAGGCCAAATTTGTGCTCAATGCGTTCTTTGGACATTTTACTTTGAATTGCACCCCTCAAATTCATTCACTTATGATCGGACTCCAAGCTAGGAAGTGATTTGTGAAGCAACTGCAAATGGGGCATTTTGCCCCAACCCCAGGGCAAAACGCCCCACGGCCTGGGGCAAGTAGCCCCATACTTTAGATTAAAGATTTAACATGGTAGTTGGCTAAATCTTATGTGAGAGGTCCGTTAGACCTCTGGAGGCACGGCACTTAAGTTAGCACATTCCATCCTGTCAGGTGTTCAGCTATGACACTATTGTATGAGCAGGTTTTTCACCTACCTCATAAGACCAAATAATAAATTATTGCAATGCGAATGTTAACAAAATACTTCTTTTGCCATCCAGTTGCTGAGAAAAATACACATAAAGGCATAGAAACTTACTGTTCGCCAGCTACCGAACATTAGAAAGTGGGTAGCCCGAACAATACATGAGGTAAAACGCCCCAGGGGCTTTTTGCCCCGCGACCCACTGAGGCGTTTTACCCCATCCCGTAGTTCGGTCAGAGACCAACGCTTTGCACTCCAGCAAGACATAATTTAATACGAACCAACCCGGCATGATAAGCGTTAGACAATAGTTGTTCAAAATACATAAAAGTCGTTAACCTGATGTGGACCATAAGAGAACGCCATGATACGTAATCTGACAACAAAACATAAAAATCACTCCAAAAACACATTTTTGGCTATATCTCCCGAAAGAGTCATCACAATTTCTTTCCAGTCTGCCCATATAATGATCATATAGTGCACGTTTTATAGAAGAGATGATGTTTCCCCAGAACTCTGCCAGCTCCGAGAAACATCGGTGAGGCGTTTTACCTCGGCGGGGCGACTTGCCCCGGTCTACCCTATCTGACATATCTATGGGCATATATCCAAACTAAATACTTTTGAACCTCACACCGGAGTTAATTAGTGCATATCAACAACCAACGAAGCGACAAGTAGCATTTCATGTCCAAAATATCCAAATAACCTACCAAGGTGTCTTCCTTCGCCGGGTTTCGTGTCGAATTGCGCACAAGGCCGGTCAGCTGGTGACACGCAAAAATAACAAGTATGGGCAGACGAAACCGGCCGACAATAAACAAATTTAAATACGCCTTTTACCAAATGCAATCGGTCACACTTGGAGAAAACGTATCAAATAATTTCACTACGATATTCCAATGTGAAATACTAATCGAGATAGTATAAATCACTCATTTAACGCAGCTTGGTTGTAATGCAGTTCCCAAAACGACCGCGCACCCGCGGTGGCAGCACCTTACGGTGACAGCCGAGAACAATGCTGCCATCTATGCTACAAGCGGTCCCGATGCGATTCAGGACCATCACACACATATATATATATATATATATATATATATATATATATATATATATATATATATATATATATATATATATATATATATATATATATATATATATATATATATATATATATATATATATATATATATATATATATATATATATATATATATATATATATATATATATATATATATATATATATATGTGTGTGTGTGTGTGTGTGTGTGTGTGTGTGTGTGTGTGTGTGTGTGTGTTGCGTACTGCAACGGGAAAAGTTTTCATTAGCCAGCCAAACAATGTTTATTTTCGTATCATAAACAAAGTGACTCGACTCTGACACACAATGAAAATAGTTTTTCCCCTGACCTCAAAAATCGACGAAAATGTACAAAGGGTGACTGCGAAAAATTAAAATTAATCACGCGACAAATAAGGTGACCTCCGGGCCAAGAGAAATGAAATGACTTTGATCGGCACTTTCAGGTAAACAAAATAAAACGAGCAAATAATAATAAATCGGCAACATCCTGGCCTCTCTGAAACAGCCAGGGTTTCAGATACCTGCAGACGATTTTCACAGAGACACAACGCACCATTTGAAAAGCCACTCGCATGATCAGAAGCGCCTAGTCCCGTCGTGGGATGACACTAAGTATAACGAGTTTCCGCACAGGACGATGCAGAACTCCGTGCTTCGTGCGCACCTCAGCTGAGCGCACAATGCCATCAGCACCACTGTGCACCTTCACCACGACACCCTTCGGCCAAAGTCCGCGTGGGTGTCGATTGTCCGCGATGATGACGATTTCATCGACCTGTACATTCGCGTGATGCTGTCTCCATTTGGGTCTTCGCGCGAGCGTCGGCAGGTAGTCTTTGACCCATCGCTGCCAAAAGGCATCTGATAGCTGCTGCGCGTGCTCCCATCGCTTCCTCAGGTCCACGTGTTCATCCTGCTTTCCTGCTGGGTAGCTTGGAGTCGCCCTTCCTATCAAGAAGTGGAATGGTGTGAGCGGGTCATCATCATCAGGGTCCACGGGAACGTGGAACAGAGGTGTCGAGTTGAGAATTTTCTCGACTTCGCAGAACAGCGTGAGTAGAACTTCATAGCGAGGCTTGTGCTCTTTCAAGATCGCCGCCAGCGTCTCCTTCACGGTCCTCACTCTTCTTTCCCAGACACCTCCGGCCTCAGGATCTGACGGAGGGGAAAACTTCCATTCGATTTTATCCACTCCTAACTTCTGTCGGAGCTCGTCTTGATCCAGCTCCTGGAGAACGCGTCTCAGTTCTTTTTCCGCGGCGCGCAGATTTCTTCCGTTGTCTGACCAGAGTTCGCGAACATTGCCTCGTCTGGCCTGGAACCTGGATATCGCCATCAACGCGGCCTGAGTGTCCAGGCTGTCGGTGAGCTCCAGATGAACCGCTTTGGTCGCCAGACATCGAAAGATGACGCCCCAGAGCTTGACATCTGAGCGGCCTCTCTTTGACCAGATGGGTCCAAAGAAGTCGACTCCTGTGGCGTAGAAGGCGCCTCGCAGCATCGTGACCCGAGATGCCGGAAGTGGCGCCATCTGGGCAGAATGAGGCTGAGCCTTCCGCACTCTGCAGGCCTGACATCTCCTGACCACCGTTCGGATAGCTTGCCGTGCCTGCGGCACCCAGCAGTGCTGCCGTAGCTCCGTCAGGACAGCTTCATGGGCTCGGTGCCCCATCCGTTCGTGTAGATGCTGAATATACAGCTCGACGTAGCGGTGGCCTCGGAGCATAATGGGCGGCTGTCGGGCGGTTGGGCTCAGCTCCGGTGATCGTTTGATCCGGCTGTCTAGGCAGATTATGCCACCAACCAGCACGGGCGATAAGCCAGCGATCTTGCTCTTTGATCTCACTGCTCGGCCCGCTTTCAGGTCCTTCAGCTCACTCGCCAACTGCTCGTGTTGTACCGTCTTGATCCAAGCTCTTTCAGCCTCTTCTATCTCACAGGGTGTGAACTCGCCTGTAACGCCGTCTCTGTGCCGGAGCAGCCACCTTCGAATGGTAGCCATAGTGCGCACTGCCACCAGCCAGCGTGAACAGCGGCTCAGGTCGGGCCGTGCGGCGGACGGATCCAGTTCTGGCTGAACGGTGGTCGCCAGAACCGACTTGGTTTCAGGATCATTGGCCAAAACTTCGTGTTCTTTAACGTCTGAAGTTGGCCAGTTGTGTTCCTCCTCTCGGAGAAACTTTGGGCCACTGACCCACGGCCTGGCAGGCTTCAGATCCGCCAGGTCTTGTCCTCTGGACGCGCCGTCTGCCGCATTCAGCTCAGTAGGCACGTACCGCCAGTCCTCCGGCCTCGTGACGTCACGATCTTCTGCCACTCGATTGGCAACAAAAACGTGGTAGCGTCGTGCAGAGGACTGTATCCAGGCGAGGACGTTCTTTGAGTCGGACCAGCAGGTTGTCGACTCGATCTCAACACGTGCTTCTCTCCTCAGAGTGGCGATCATTCGAGTCCCAAGAACCGCAGCTTGCAGTTCAAGCCTCGGAATGGTCAGCTTCTTTGCTGGCGCTACTCGTGTCTTAGCGCCTACAAAGCTGACGTTGATCTCGCCGTCTTCTGCTCTCCATCTGTAGTAGAGTACAGCTGCGAAACCTTTCTCGCTCGCGTCGCAAAACATGTGCAGCTCTACTGTGCTGACACACATGTTGTTGAACAGGTGTCTTGGAAGGCGCAGATCATGAATCCGCCTCAGCTCTTCCGTCCACTTCTGCCACTCTGCTGTCAACTCCTCTGGAACTCCTTCATCCCAGCTGATGCCTTGTTGCCAGAGTTGCTGCAGCAGAAGTTTCCCTCGTAGCAGCCAACCCGAGAGGTAGCCGATGGGATCGAATACCGACATCCCGGTGGACATGACTGTCCGCTTGGTCACGATTTCTGGTGGAACATGCTCTCGGTACGTTAGCTTGTCCAGGCTTGACTTCCACACGATTCCCAGAGCTCGGTGGTCGTCTGTCTTCCCCACACTGAGATCATTTTCACTGCGCTGCTCCGGCTTCAGCATATTGAGCACTTCTGAGGAATTCGACCCTCAGGGGCCCAGCTCGAAGCCTCCTCGTCGGAGTGTCACGGTCAGCTTCTTGATCAGCTGTTCAGCTTCAGCTTCTGTCGCTGCTCCACTCAGTATGTCATCGACATAGCTTTCTTCATGCACCGCTCTGACCACCAGCGGGCTGCCGTCGCCGAAATCAGTTGCTGTGCGCCTGTAGCAGTAGCTTGCGATGCTCGGTGAGCACGCTGCGCCGAAGATCAGCACGGGCGACTCAAAAACGTCAAAGTCACCGTCACGGGGATCGTCTCGCCAGAGAAATCTGAGACTGGGCCGGTCCCGCTTGTCAACACTGATCTGGCTAAACATGGCGACTATATCTGACGTCAGAGCGATCCGTTTCTCACGCCAGCGAGTCAGGACGCCAATCAGCGAATTGATGTTCTGTGGTCCTTGCATGAGACTGTCGTTGAGACTCCTTCCGTGGCTCTTTGCAGCCGCGTCCAATACCAAACGTACTTTGTTCGGCTTGTTAGGATTTGTGACAGCCATGAGGGGTAGATACCAGACGTTGTCTGGCTCGTATGAAGCTTCCGTGGCGGTCAGCTTAGGAAATGACCTTCTGAGATCATCTTCGTCATCCTTTCTCTTGTCATTTCACCCAGGCTCGGCTCAGCTCCCAGGCGCTCGGACTTTTCCATCTGTTTTTCAAAAGCCTTTGCTCTCTTCTGAGCCATCTGTCTGCTGGGTGGGAATGGCTCGTCACGATCTCGCCGCAGCAGCGGGGCCACCCAGCGCGTGCCGTCGTGGTACACCTCGCTGTTCAGGATGTTGTCCGCTTTTCTGTCCTCTGGGCTGAAAGGCGTGTCAAAGTCGTACTTGCAGCCGAACTGCTCCGTACTCCACATGTCTTCTGTGTGGAGAAAGTTAACCTCTGGTGGATGTTTCACGGTGTCATGTCTCATGACCACTCTTCCTGTCACGGTCCATCCCAGGAGTGTTCGCTGCAGAAGCGGACCGTTCTTCGAGCTCGTCCTGCGCACTTCACGTGCGGCAATCAGTGCCGCCTGGTCGAGACCGATCAGGATCTTCGGAGCCTCGTTCAGCTCTGGTAAATTCAGCTCTTGAAGCTCCGGGTATAGTGTCTTCAGCCGTTTGTCGCTAACAGCTGGAGGCGACAGGGCTAAATCACGGACACATGTGACGGTTTTCAGTTTGAATTTATGGCCGTTCTCGGGATTTTCAATGCGCAGGTCGACTGTCATCGTCTCCACTGTTTTCACCTCAGTGACCGTCTTCATGTCCATGAGTCCTTCCGGTCCTGAAAGCTGAAGCTCGTCAGCCAGTGACCTGTCCATAAGCGTCACCGAGCTTCCTTCGTCTAGGAAGGCTCGGCACCGGCGTCTTCCCTCAGGCGTCACTATATTGATGACGCAGGTCTTCATCATGACACAGGACGCCGCGGCACCCTGAGTGACGCCAATCACCTCAGGTGATGACGCTGCGCCATGAAGCATTCTGTGATGAAGCTCACAGCACCCGTCAATGCCACAAGCTCGTTTTCTGTGGCACGAACCGGTCGAATGTGTCTTCTTGGACAGACATCGCAGACAGCCACGTCGTTCAGTGACCCAGCGATGGCGCTCGTCCACTCCCAGAGCCTTGAACTCTGGACAACGCTGAATGTAGTGCGACTCATCGCAGTAGTAGCATTTCAGCTGTTCGGTGTTTGTGCATGTCGTCTGACGAGGGCGTGACGTCATCCGGTTCTTGTCCGTTTCTGTCCGTTTTTGATTCGGCAGACTTCGACTCTTGCTGGCGAGCGGCTGATAACCAGCGCCGCTGCAGAAACGCCGGTCCTTGATGTGTCCTTTCAGGAAGGCAGCGAATAAATCACAGGTCAGCAAGCCTCCCTCGGTCTTAATGCGGCCGTAGGCTCCCCATTCGGCTCGACTGTCCCGAGGCAGCTTGCTCGTCAGGGCTTGAATCACCTGCAGGTTGTTCAGCTCATTAGACTGGCCCACGTGTCTGATGATTGCTATCGCATTAGATATCTCGGTCGAAAACCGCTCTAGTGCATCGACATCACCTTCCCTCACTGGTGGACTGTCCAAGAGTTTCCTCACCATTTGGTTAACAATGATTTGAGGATCTCCGAAACGCTCCTTCAGGATCGTCCATACGTCATCAAAGGAGCCACCAGTAAGCAGGGCTCCGTGAACTGTGTGGAAGGCGTCTCCTTTTAACCTCTCTTTTAGATGTCGCAGGATCTGTGTCTCAGAATAGTGAAGCTGTAGCGCCTCCTTCACCTGTGCTTAGAAGAACGGGAACTCTTCGTACTTCCCATCAAACGTGGTGAAGTCCAGCTTCACTGCTTCTTGCAGGTACAGTCGCGTCGGTGGCGGGCCTAGCTCAGGTCCTGGTATCGGTAAACTGTCATGTCGTTCGGTATTGGTCTGTATGAAGTCGTGATCCGCGTCGTGTTCGCGGGCGGACGCTACAGACGTCACAGACGAGTCGCCGTCGCTCGGCGCCCGAGACAGCCGAGCGCGACACAACTGAATACGGTGTCTTTCCTTCGCTCTGTTGAGCTCCAACTTGGCATCTCTAATTACTCGTTCAAGGCGCTCCTCTTCGTCGATCTGCTCTTGAAACATCGACGCATCGCTCACACTCGCTACGCTCTCTTCATTGGTTGCCACCTCGGAGATCGTTCGCCAGCTTCGACTGCTGCGCGGCAGAGGAGTAGGTGGTCGATAACCAGGCTCCAAACTGCGCCGAGGTGCCGGTGTTGGCCTTTCATTTACGCTGTAACTCATCGTTTACGTTATATGTGATACGCATTGAAAGAACCAACTCATTGATGCTAGTGCGCAAGCGAGTTTCGAATATAAAATTAGACAAGCATTACGTTAATCCTACGTTAATGCTGGCAATCGAGAAGCAATTAACTATTTTCATAAATTGTTGCGTACTGCAACGGGAAAAGTTTTCATTAGCCAGCCAAACAATGTTTATTTTCGTATCATAAACAAAGTGACTCGACACTGACACACAATGAAAATAGTTTTTCCTCTGACCTCAAAAATCGACGAAAATGTACAAAGGGTGACTGCGAAAAATTAAAATTAATCACGCGACAAATAAGGTGACCTCCGGGTCAAGAGAAATGAAATGACTTTGATCGGCACTTTCAGGTAAACAAAATAAAACGAGCAAATAATAATAAATATATATATATATATATATATATATATATATATATATATATATATATATATATATATATATATATATATATATATATATATATATATATATATATATATATATATATATATATATATATATATATATATATATATATATATATATATATATATATATATATATATATATATATATATATATATATATATATATATATATATATATATATATATATATATATATATATATATATATATATATATTAGGGTGTATCGTCGAATTTTGATTTTTTTTAATCGTCTTCACTACTAAATTTTATTGGTCCCTGGCATGTTTGAAGCCGTAGGATACCAATCAAAAAAATCTGGGACGAAAACCTAGCCTGCTGCGAGCGGTTGAACGGAGGCCTGTCGGGGCGGCGCCAGGCGTTGAAGTCTCCCCGTTAGTTACGCGCACACTAGCACCACGCGGCGGCTGGCGCCGTGCCGCCGCGTTCCCGGTCAGCCGTGTTTTAGCGTTCACTGACGGGTCGAAGTGATTATTCTAAGCTTTCCTAAGAAGCTTTCTGCCCCGCAGCTCATTATTGAGCAAGAATATCGCACAAACTGCATAGAACATTGACATGCAGGTTGTCGGCACATATGGAGAAGGGGATGTTTTGGTTAATGCCTCCTTTAATAGGAAGAGATTGTGGAAGAACAACACATTTCTCTTGGAAATTACTCCTCCTTCTTCCTACGTGCCTGCTTTAGTAATCGAAGTACCCCTATTGACTCTACGTTCTTGATTCGGCTGTCCATTTTATGCATGGAATTCCGCTATATTATATTTTCTCGCTCAATGTCCCCTGAGCTATACCTATTGAGGCGTCACGGGACAGCAATGCTCAGCACACAACTGCAGAGAAAAAGTCAATGTGGTCATGCGTTTTGTATGCCAAAATGTGTGAGCCTTGGCGTGTACCAGCAGCCGTTGTCACCATTGTAATTTTCACGACTTTATCTTTATAATGATGCAATTGCCCACTTCCCAGTTCCCAGACTGGGTTTGGAGATATAGTTTTACAGAAACATTTAGGAATGTCTGTAATGTAAGTTAAAAGCTAATACCGAAAGGAATCCACATATTTTCGATTTCCTGTTTGCTGTATTGCTTAGTAAATGCCAGACGTCATGATGGCATGGTTGCGATTGATGGTATGCCGGATGGCCAGGGTACGAACTCATGGTAAGTCAGCTTGGCCGGCAGGCATCAACAGGCACAATAGTCTTACACTGATATCGTCACCCTCAGTTATTCGTCACCATTCAGCAGCAGGCCCAGAGCTTCGGGCCTTGAACCGTAAGGCACAGGTGTAGGAGCAAGACATTGCGCCGATTCGAAGGGCTGGAAGGGCAGCATCGCGGGGGCTGGAATGCGCCTGAGCGGCTGAGACCATCCCATTGGGACGGGGGTGTTCTGGGTGCACTCAGCCGCTCATACTGGGAAATGCATCCAATGGAGCTCTCCATTCGAATGATTAGGGTGACCTTTAGTCTAGAACAAGGAAGGATGACTGTTGGCTGGTCCCGAGGATAGATACAAAGGACAGGTAATGACATCATATAATGAATCGAAGACGGCACCGGCCCGATCCTCTGATAGAGGCTCATCAACACGTATCTCGTTGTGGACCATTTCGTTTTCCTCCACCGTGGTTTTTGCACCGACCTCAACGGGTTGGAAGATTACGATGTTCAGAAACCATTAAGGTCGTAATTGTATATTCGTTGAGTTAGGTTAGCCTTTCCATTCCATGAAGACTA